TATATTAGGTTTTGAATTTTTTCTCTTTAAAGAGTTGCTATGCAGTAAACAAGCATGTTTTTGGGCTTTAATGGGAAGGTAAAATGGCTGTTGCAGTTATTTGAATTTGACCAATATCCAAACTCGGAACAGGCTAAGAATATAATTTTGAACCATATTAAACTAAACATTAGGGCTGTGTGATATTGAAGGAAAATGCGATATGCGATACCTTGTTCAAAAATGCGATATGCGATACGATATTGCTTAAAGTGTGTAAAAATCAATTTCAAATGAAAATGAAAATTATATAACCAATTTGTTTCACATTCTTTCTTAGAAAAGAAAGAATCACTACAACTTCTGAAAGTGACCAGCAGTGTTTTAGCATTACATAAAAAGTAATGTCACATACACGTATTTATAGGCTGCTGTCCCTTTAAAACCGACTGCACGGATCCAGTATAATGATACACATCCGATTTCTTTCTCAGCTGTTTACATTCATTTAAAACATAACCGACTGCGTTTACGAGAATGATCGTCGAGACGGGTACTACTACTATTGATATCATTCTGTGTGTATGTGTCTGTTCAAACATGAGGAGATGCGAAAGACGAACGTGTTCACGCACCGTCTGAAACGCGTCTCTCTCTCTCTCTCTCTCTGTGTGTGTGTGTGTGCGCGCGCGCTTTGCACATGTGCGGCAGAACTGAAGCGACGCTGTGCGAAATGCGGCTTGTGCGTGCGCTTCAGGTGTGAGTCAGACAGCAAGACGAGACGGCAAAGAGTTGTTTTCTGCAACTTATTGCACTTAACTCTTTTTAACGTCAAGCAATTCACTGCTATGTGCGTCGAACTAAAACTTTGACCTTTTGCAACGTTTTGATTTAAGTAGCCTATTATTAAAATGATTCAGATATCGCACGCCCTTGTGATATGCATATTGCGATATTTACATTTGCGATATTTCGATAATTTCGATAATTTCGATATATCGTGCAGCCCTACAAAACATAAAGAATTACAAGAATATTATTCTACTTTGACCCAGATATCAGTATATCTGGCCAAGTCCCTGCTGATTCCCACCCATAGTGTCCATGTGTGTCAGTGTGCATCTGACATTATACATTTGCTCTAAAGAGTTCTGTAGGATCGTACGGACTTCACCTTTTCCCAGAGATCCAGCACTTTTGGGCTAAGTCTAAACATCCTGTGATGGGGAGTCAGCACTTCTAGTCACCCCCCCAAAAAACCCAAAGCAGCAGAGCCCTGAGATCCTGCCTCCACCCTCCACATAAACTTTGCAGCGCATTGTTACGAATAACAATATTTAGGCAGAGGATTCTGTCCTGGCTCTAAATGTTCCGATTGATCCTGATAAGACTTCAATGTATGAGGAATGATGCACGTCTCTGGACAGAAGCATTTCCTGCATCAGCTGCAAACAAAGCAAAGCCTGGAACTTTCCACTAATGTTGATTAATAACACCATCTCTTTTGGGTTTCATCCATTTATCCTGCACCACTTTATCTGTGTTATTTTAGAATCTCTTCCCACTTCCTGGACAACAGGGTGTTATCTCTACCTACACACACTGTGACGGCAGTCTGTCGAGTTCCATGGTGCAAATCCTCAACACGTTTGCACTGCGGTCTGTTGTGTGTGTTTCTGTCAACATGTTTTTTGCCCAGGGCTGCGTTGTGTTTCACTGATTATAAGGGAATGAGATTTTTCCTCGTTCCAGAAATATCACTCAAGGAATTCTTAAAATTACAGAGCGTAATTTTGCTTTTAACATCTCCTTTTATGTCAGTGTGAAGAGCGCTTGTGTGTGATAGTTCACTAGGTTTTAAGCTATAGTGTACTGGGCAATAATTCAGTTGAAGCATGTATCAATGAACATACAAATGTTCATTGATAATGTGGCATTGACGAGCCCAAGCTAACCTTCTTTTGCAAGCGCAAGTTTCATGCTCACAAGAGGAACTGTTTTTTTGTTGGTTTTTTTTACACTGAAAACCGCCAGGCTTCCTGTCACTCTTGGCTCCATTTTGCGGAAGGTGAAGCAGTTAGTCTGAAAGATGCATCAAGAAAATTGAAATGTGCCATTCACTTCACCACTTCCGCTTTCAGACCTACGCTTCATAAACAAAACTAGACAGTGGCACATTTACGTGACTTACACAGATGACTAAATGTACACTTTTACATTTCTGAATAAATTGGTTGATTTGGTGTTACAGTATTTGTATTCTATAACAGTAGAATTGTATTTTGCATTCAAATTTATTATGGGTTTATTATGTAGTTATCTGCTTGTTTTTTTATACTCAGTCTCTATTCAGAGAGAACTAATTTCCTCTGACGTGTTAAATTTGTACAGTACTTTTATTTTAATCCTGTAGGAATTGAGTAACTTTTTCCTCACATAACCTTTATAAAAATATATATAGTGCACATAACCTAATGGTTTTCAGCTAACATCATGGGATCAGTTAGTACTTTCATTCTTCAAGAACGCATTCAATTGATCAAAATTGACAATAATGTTATAAAGTATTTCTGTTTTAAATAAATGCTGTTCTTTTGAACTGTCTATTAATGAATAAATCCCCATAAATTTCCACAAAAATATTAAGCAGCACATCTGTTTTTATTATAATAACATTGATAATAATAAGAAATGTTCCTTGAGCAGCAAATGAGGATATTAGAATGATTTCTGAAGAATCATGTGATACTGAAGACTGGAGTAATGATGCTGAAAATTCACACTTTTTCATTTACTGTAATTTACCAGTTATGAAATTACAGGCCATTACAGACCACATCTGTCAATCATTGGAATTCAAACATTGTTTAGGAAAAAAGTCATGTCTGAATGTTCTAGATTGAAGTTACTTCTTAAAATCAGGGTCAAAATCTCTTTTTAGCCCGTGGTTTGAGGAAATGTGCATTTATCAAGCTTTACAGAGGAAATGTTTTCCTGAACTGTCCTCAAAATCTCAATGCAATGGAGACAGTTGTATGTAAATGTTGTGTGTGTGTTCTTTCAGGTGCGGGGCAGTGCCAGTCAGACGCGCGAGGCTCTGCAGCGGCACTTCCAGGAGCTGCAGACAGCAGTGAGTCGACTGCTGACCGAGAGGCTGAATGCTCTGCTGCAAGAGGTCGACAACATCGAGCTGGACAGTGTCAGTCCCTTAGATGACTGTCAGAAGCTCATTGAGCATGGAGTCAGCACAGCTGATGAGCTGCTCCGAGAGGGTGAGTCTGTCAGATCAATGGAAGGGAGACTGGCCGGTCATTGCTAGGGCTACAGTTATTCTTCAACTACAGTCACACTAATCTGATTATCTGATTTCATGGAAGTAAAAAAAGTATGTAAAGACCATTTGTTATGAGAAGGTATTAATCAATTAAATTTAGCCTTGTGCAAGACAAGGATCAGCTATGTCAGCTTGTAGGACTATGTCAGTGGCATGATAAATAGTCGAATAGCAGCAATTTGATTATCTGAAAGTATCTTATCAAACTGTGTGAAAATGTGGCTATTCAAGGCTCAGCGTTAAAGATGGCTTAAAAGGTTAGTTCATCCAATAATTACTCACCCTCATGTCAGTACCACGACACATGCGTGAGAAGAGAGGAAATTGTTGAATAAAGTTTTCTTTGCGCACAAAAAGGATTCTCGTAGCTTCATAACATTACGGTTGGACCACTGATGTCACATGGACTATTTTAATGATCTCTTTACTACCTTTCTGGGCCTTGAAAATGTTAGTTGCATTGCTGTCTATGGGAGGGTCAGAAAGCTCTCAGATTTCATAAAAAATATCTTAATTTGTGTTCCGAAGATGAACGAAGGTCTTATGGCATGAGGGTGAGTAATTAATGACAGAATTTTCACTTTTGGGTGAACTATCCCTTTAATGCTCTGAGCCAATGTAAAAGAGTTTAAGTCTATATTTATTTTTTTATTTAATCAACAAAATAATGAATTATTTGTTTGATGTCGATTTTTTTTGAAGAAAATTTAATTAATGCATTTAATACATTTATGTTGCTAAAAAAATTAATTTATTCATAATTTGTTTTTCATTAAAAAAAAATATATATACGTTTTTGCTGTAGGGTCATTGAAAGTATTAACAGGGCAAGTACAAATGTGAACCATTTGGATAATTGCCAGCTATTAAATTGTTGGCTGATTAAATGTTGAAGTGTTTAACACAAACAGTGCTAAAACCATACATATGGAACAATATTCCGGACAATTTTCAAAAGGAATTGCAATTGTATTTTCAATTGCGTTTTCAATATGTGGACGCATAAATTGTGACATAATCCAAATGCAATTGCAAATCCTGCATTAACGTTTGCATTTTCGCTTTCGCGAACACACAGTGACTGCCAAATTTCAAATGAAAAAGCAAAGTCCATTTGCAACTGTATTTCCCATGTCTTAGGAGTTACGAGCCTGTCATATTTAAATAGCAATATTAATTACCAGTCTGCTTTTTCACTCTCGCTGCGTCGCGCATGTAACCTGCCAAAACTCAAATGGAATCGCAATTCCTTTTGCATTTGAATTTCCGATGTCTGCATGGAAAGCTGCCAATCATCGTCAGGCGACTATACTAGGGGGCGTGTTTGTATTGGGAGGTGACGTCACTCACAGACAACCGTGCCGAATGCTCTGATCAATGGAGATAATCGGTAAAGGCTCCGCTAAAGGCAGCTACCAATCAGTTTCGTACCTGTGTGAATGAACAGGCAGTGCAACCTTCTTGGCACAATACATAATTATGTCTTTTTTACCCCAAATGTAGCGATTATCCCCTGCTAACAGCGGGAGCCACAACGGAACGCACAATAGGTCAATATTCACTATTAACCAAACGCTTTTCACCTGTCTCAGCATCTCACTGTTTACACTCACTTACACTTTTAATCCATAATAGAGAGCGTGTCACACCTGCCTCAAGACCTTTTACCGTTTGCACTCCACTTGATGTACTTAAGCAAACAAATGGTGCAAATCTATACTTATTTTCCACCTTACTTTATATTTTATTCAACAGTTTTAATCCGTTATGGAGTTCGCGTCCCGTACGTGGCACCAAAGCGTTGCGCCTGCCTCAAGATCTCTCACTATTCACAGCCACTGGACACCGCGATTGATGCACGTGATTTTTAATGTTATCTTGCCTTGGCTGTGGCGTGTTCTGTGACAGCTGCACCTAGATCTGACTGGTGAAGTGTCATCTGGGGCAGGCAGAGTAAGAGTAGCAGCATTTTCTGTTTTGTCACATGCATCTATCGGATCGTAAACAGACTGAGAGCTCTTGAGGCAGGTGCACATAGGCTATTAGATAGGAATAAGATATAGGTGGCAAATAGGTAAATACGTGTAGATTTGCACTGTTTGTTTGCTTAAGTGCATCAAGTGGTGTGCAAACGGTAAAAGGTCTTGAGGCAGGTGTGACGCTCTCTATTACGGATTAAAAGTGTAAATGAGTGTAAACAGTGAGAGATGCTGCGACAGGTGAAAAGCGTTTGGTTAATAGTGAATATTGACCTATTGTGCGTTCCGTTGTGGCTCCCGCTGTTAGCAGGGGATAATCATTACATTTGGGGTAAAAAAGACAGAATTATGTATTGACAACATCCTGGTTGCTGTAATTTCCTCTAGAGCTCATTTGATTATATTTGCTACAGTTTGATTTTTACTGCCCTTAACGTTCAGTTATAAATATAATATGACTGTCCCTTCAGGGGAGGCTGCCATCCGCTGTGGCATAAATGAGAAGGAGGACAAGCTGGGCAGCTTCACTAAGAAAGCCCTGCAGATCCAGTTGGACAGGTGAGGAGCACACAGACTCATTCACTTAACAAACTCTCAATTCATGTCTAGAAACACTGAATACATGGAGATTCAGACCTTGAGAACACGGAAAGCAAAGCCTTCTTTTCCTGAAGTTCAGAAGACATTATTCACATAATTACTAAAGCGCTCATTTAAAAAAATCATGTCACCTAACCTTTACTAATGCCTGATTTTATGACTCATCTGTTTTGTGACGCATCTGCTCAAAGTTTAACAGAGAGATGGCAACCGTACCAGCAGGGGTGTGCTGAATCACCCAAGCTTAGCTTTATAAAACCATGCTGCCTTAGCTATGATTCATTTGACATAATTAAAATGTACCCCAGGATCAGGTTTTAACATGCCTACAGTCATTACAGCAAAAATTGTAGCATTATGGATGCCATTTAAATAATAAATTTTGTGTTTTAGAATAAACACTTTTGAAAGATATTTAATTTGAAAGTGTTTTAGACTTTTAGAAAGCGTTTTAGAATGATCCTTCTGATCTTTAATACTCATTTTGTCATTTAAGCCTCATTATCAGAGAAGAAATACAACAGGAAATAATAATGACTCATCCCTCAGTTTGTGAAAAAGACTGAGAAACGTGTTCACGGTAACATACAAAACACTGCAGTTTTTTCATCTACTGCTTTAAATGCTCAAGCTCTTTAAAGGGGTCATATGATGCTGCTAAAAAGAACATTATTTGGTGTATTTGGTGTAATGAAATGTGTTTATGCGGTTTAAAGTAAAAAAAACACATTATTTTCCACATACTGTACATTATTCAGCTATCCAGTGTGTTGTGATTGGCCGAATACCTCAAGCGTGAGACGGAAATGTTACGCCCCTCACCATACTGTTGATGCCGTGTCCCGGCCGGAGCGACGAGACAAAAACATTAAAACCCATTATAAACGAGGCATTTGTTGCATCCAGTGGGGACATAATTACTGATTATAATGACTTATACTGTCTTTTTACGCGTTGCGTTGCATTGCATCGCGCCGCGCCGCGTAAACATAAAACACTGGCTGCATTTGTGATCCGAGCAATGACAAACAACAAGTGCTACTCTACACTGCCCAAAACTCGCGTTTGAATCATCAGTGGCAAATTCTTTAAATGAAAAGAGTGAGAGTGAGGCTTAGAGTGAGCTGAGGCCGGGCTAGAGTGAGCAGAGGCGGCGAAGGAAAAATTGAAATCGCATCATATGACCCCTTTAAAGTCAGGTGGATTCTGATTGGCTGTCATTGCTTTTATAGTTTGTCGTATTCCCTCTTCACATAGAATTAGAATGAAGAAACTTAACAGTTTTTGTTATAGTTATCGGCCTTGGTGTGAACAGGCCTTAATAAACTCTCCTTTAATTCTGAAGGAGGATCTTTGTGTTTGGATAGTTTTAAATGTTAATGTGTTATCATGAGACTAGTGTGATGCCTTGCATGCTGACTTTGTCTGCAAAAAATTATGTTCAGATTTGTTTTAATAATTTTTACAATAACTTAGCCAAAAATAAAATAAGAACAAAATACATATTTAAAAATAATAAAAAAAATAGAGCTTTGCACTTGACATGCAGGAGAAAAAAAGTAAATTGTGTGCACAATTTACTAATTCGTTCCTTCGTTTTAAATAAATTGTGCGCTTGATAATTCGTTCCCTCGTTTTAAATAAATTGTGCGCTCAATATAATAATTCGTTCCCTCGTTTTAAATAAATTGTGCGCTCGATATAATAATTCGTTCCCTCGTTTTAAATAAATTGTGCGCTCAATATAATAATCTTTTCCCTCGTCTTAAATAAATTGTGCGCTCAATATAATAATCTTTTCCCTCGTTTTAAATAAATCGTGCGCTCAATATATAATTCGTTCCCTCGGTTTAAATAAATTGTGTGCTCAATATAATAATCTTTTCCCTCGTTTTAAATAAATTGTGTGCTCAATATAATAATTCGTTCCCTCGTTTTAAATAAATTGTGCGCTCAATATAATTCGTTCCCTCGTTTTAAATAAATTGTGCGCTCAATATAATAATCTTTTCCCTCATTTTAAATCAATTGTGCGCTCAATATAATAATTAGTTCCCTCGTTTTAAATAAATTGTGCGCTCAATATAATAATCTTTTCCCTCATTTTAAATCAATTGTGCGCTCAATATAATAATTAGTTCCCTCGTTTTAAATAAATTGTGCGCTCAATATAATAATCTGTTCCCTCATTTTAAGTAAATTGTGTGCTTGATATAATTTGTGCCCTCATTTTAAGTGAATAGATACTTTAATTGGGTTTTATTTTGAGTTGGGAATGAGTTATACACACATTCTCAAAAGCTTGCAGCATTGCATGGAATCATTTTAAGTGAGAAGCATCTACATCAGTTTATGAGAATGCGGACAGGAAATAGTACGAATTATTATTTCGTGCACACAATTTACTCAAAACGAGAGAACGGATTAGTAAATTGTAGGGATGTAATGGTATTATCAATATCTTGGTATCGCGATATGAAAATTGTCTCGATATCATCGTGGTCACATGACGATATGAAATGATAGGCCTTCCGGGCAAAAAGTGTAGTTTTTAATATATATATATAAACTAACATAAAGGCTCTTTGAAGTTGTGTTTTGGTACATTATGCTTTGGCACAGAATCTTTCAAACAAACTAAAACTGGAAGCACAATATGTCTTAATCCCTTCATTAAGTCTGTTTTCACTGCGTGTTTCAAAGCGAAGTGCGCACTTCGTTCAGGCGATCAGTTTTCCGCGTTCCTCATTTATTGCATGTGCTTGAAGTTTAGCTCACCTTTGGGAGCGCAGTGGCAACCAGTTATGCTTTATTTTCACGGCAGATAATTACAGCATTTCACTTTAAAATTTACAAAATTTTCTCTTTTTTCCCAAGTCTTCATTTTTCTCTTTTTTTTTTAAATATCACAATAAATATCGTACCGTGGACTTCATATTAAGATATTATCATATCGTGAGATTTTGATATCGTTACATCCCTAGTAAATTGTGTGCACGATTTAACTTTTTTATCCCTGCATGTCATGTGCGGGGCTCCGTAAAAAATAAACAAAATGAATACAAAAATTTGTCAGCATGTTTTGTGCTACTTTATTCAAACGTAGTTACTTGATGCGCCTTGTTTAAACCTTGCAGGAGGATTTGCCTAAGATTAATGTATAATCATGAATGGATACAGTATATGTAAAAACATGTTGTCATCAGTCTGCCCGAGGTACCTGCGCTGGTGGACGTGCCGTGTCTGTCTGCGCAGCTGGACGACACTTTGCTGCATATGTTCCGGACACACGTGGCTCGGCACAGCAGCGTGGCCTCTCATCCGCCCGTCCAGATTGAGGAGCTGGTGGAAAGACCGGGCGGTGTGCTGGTGCGCTGGTGTAAGGTGAGTCTAGCCTCCCCTGTTCAAGTCCATCAGACATTTTCAGCGCCACATGACTCTCTTGGCAATGCCTACTGTTTGCGTGTAGGTGGACGATGACTTCACCCCGCAGGACTACCGGTTGCAGTACCGTCGCGGTAACTCTTCTCAGTATGAGGACGCGTACATTGGAAAAGACACCGAGTTCCTGGTGCTCCATCTTGACCCGCACATCGACCACCTGTTTCGTGTGTGTGCCAGAGGAGAGGGCCGAACCGAATGGAGCCCGTGGAGCATCCCGCAGACCGGCTACACCACACTCGCACCCCACGGTACAGACTCAACGAAACCTAGCATTCTAGATAGTTCACACATAGTTCAAAATTCTGTCATTTACTCACCCTTAAGTAGTAGTTTTGGAAGTCAGTGGGGACCAGCTACTGTTTGGTTACCCACATTCTTCAAAATATCTTCTTTTATGTTCAATAGAAGAAGGAAATTCATACAGGTTTGGAACTACTTGAGGGGGAGTAAATGATGTACAAATTTCTGTGGAAATTTCTCATAAAGCACCTCCACGGAATGTGAACGTGTTTCATAAATGTTGTTTTATTGTGCGTTGACAGAATGGCTTCCAGGCATGGATGGCTACATTTTAAGCAGTAGGAAGAACATCGCTATGCGCAATGACTCATCGCCTGGTCATGGGGGTGTTCTGTACTCCAACTCCCCCTCATACTTCTGTGGCCAGACCCTCACCTTCAAGTACATCAGCTTTTCATCCTTCCACATAGTCTCATAGCAAATCAAATGTGGGCTATATGAAAGTGGGATGCTATAAATAGGCTAAGATCATATTACACATATAGCAATTCATCATTTTAAAAACAACGGAGAGATGCAGAATGATCGCAAATAACATTTTTACAGTAGCAAATATCAGCAGGCTTATCGTATGTCTCACTCGTTGTGTGTCTGATTTTTGGCTTTCTCGTTTGTTTGCTTGCAGGATCACAGCTGCTGGACAGACAGATAAGCGGGACAGTTTGGGTGTGTGTGCGGACAGCAGAACTGCCACAGACTCACTGCAGAGGGATCAGGCTGTCTGCATCTCCACTAATGGTATGAACAGGACAATATAGTTCAACTAACATAATATTTATACACCTTTTCAAGATGTTCAGTATATACATTTTTGTTCAAATGTTTGAGGTCGGTTAGCATTTTTTCATGTTTTTGAAAAAGTCTCTTCTGCTCACCAAGGCTGCATTTATTGGCTCAAAAATACATTAAAAACAGTAATATTATAAAATAATTACAATTTAAAATGCATTTGTTCTATTTGAATATATTTGTACAAATTTTCCTGTGGTGGCAAATCTGAATTTTCAGCCGCCATTACTCCAGTCTTCGTCAGTGTGTATCATTGTTGAAAGCAGTTGTGCTGCTTAAGGGGCCGTTCACATGTCGCGCCTAAAAACGCGTGCTTTGCTTCCCCAAAGCGTTCGGGCGCTTGCGCTCCGGAGGCATCTGTTGTTGCTAAGCAACTAGGGCTGAAACGATTCCTCGAGTAACTCGAATACAAAAAATCATCGAGGCAAATTATGTGCTTCGAAGAATCGTTTAGTCCATTTACTAGGGATGCACTGAATTTTCGGCCGCCGAAAATATATGCCGCGCCGCGCAGCAGTGTTCAGGTTTCACTCTCCTCCAGCCGTCATCACTGCGCCGTGTGACGCTCTGTTCAATATTCCGCTCTATCAATGTGCATTCTGCTCATTTACCGCTCATGCTCACCAGAAAAGCTAAGTCCGCTCAAATAACGCACCGACAAGAAATTTCTATGTAGTATACTTGTTCCTGTTTGCAGTACTGGGCAACGCTGGTAAAATCTCGTTCACTGATCTGCTCCCCGCTATATATGCTCTGCTGATAATAATAGCTTTGCCAGGGTTTTTATATTTTTATACACGTTTACTTGATATTTCTTTACACAAAATCATCATTTCTATTCATTTCCCACCGATTTACGTGATCTGATGAGCATTAACTCATATTACGCGATCATATCTCTATGAATGAATGAATGGCAGAGACGCGCGTTTTCCTTTACCACACACACACACACACACTGAAGCGCATCTCCAGAACTGCTCTGAGAATCACTTCATGACCGTTTCATTTGAGTAAAACTAGAGTCATATCATATACACACAGAAATGTAAGGGTATTCACGGCAACCCGTCAAAATAAAAGTCCGGTTTAATTTGAAGACATTGCAGCAGAAATATATTACTATTGTTCAGCAGAATGTACATACTACTACTACTAAAATTATGAAAACTTTATTTTTAAAGGAATGATCACACAACATTTCTTCCATGTTTTAATTTTAATAGTAAATCCCCTTTGTTTGCCAAAAAGTTTAATTTTCAATAATTTAAAGATAAATAAATAACGCACCGACAAGAAATTTCTATGTAGTATACTTGTTCCTGTTTGCAGTACTGGGCAACGCTGGTAAAATCTCGTTCACTGATATGCTCCCCACTGTGCTCTGCTCACATGCGCTGATAATAATAGCTTTGCCAGGGTTTTTATATTTTTATACATGTTTACTTGATATTTCTTTACACAAAATCATCATTTCTATTCATTTCCCACTGATTTACACGATCTGATGAGCATTAACTCATATTACGCGATCATATCTCTATGAATGAATGAATGGCAGAGACGCGCGTTTTCCTTTACCACACAGGACAACACACACTGAAGCGCATCTCCAGAACTGCTCTGAGAATCACTTCATGACCGTTTCATTTGAGTAAAACTAGAGTCATATCATATACACACAGAAATGTAAGGGTATTCACGGCAACCCGTCAAAATAAAAGTCCGGTTTAATTTGAAGACATTGCAGCAGAAATATATTACTATTGTTCAGCAGAATGTACATACTACTACTACTAAAATTATGAAAACTTTCTTTTTTCAAACGATTTTTTTAAGGAATGATCACACAACATTTCTTCCATGTTTTACTTGCTGTAGTTAGGCTGAAACTTGAAAGTTAAGTTGCACAATGTTTAGGTTTTATTTATTTTTTTTTTTATTACTATTATTCTGATTTATGTCTTAGTTTTTGGTTGTACTATGTTTAACTTCTTTAAAGTAATTGGAAATTGATTTGTATATTTTTATATATTTGTATTTGCATTTGAATGTAATATGGCAATTAAATGCACTAAATGGGTTTAGTTTTCACAGTTATTAATATTAATATATGCAATTTCAGTAATAAAAATGTTAGTATTGCTCTTTAATAAAGAAAAAGGTCTTCTTATGCGATTACTCGATTAATCGATGGAATTTTTGGTAGAATACTCGATTACAAAAATATTCAATAGCTTCAGCCCTATAAGCAATCATGACCTGCGCTCTCCATGAAGACGCGGAAGTTTCAGCAAAGGATAAATGGATTTGCAGCACTAAAAATCGCTTGCAGTAGCTCTGCTACTAAATTTATTTTAAAAATGTCTAACCTGTACAGCTATGATCAGCTGTTCCTTCATCTTGGCTGAGCTTTCAATGTTGTTACGGGAAAGGATGAAGCTGATTGGATGGTTGTTGTCACATGACCTGCAGTGCGCTTGCGGCATTCTGAAAAGTTTATTGGCTGAGCTTTCAATGTTGTTATGTGAAAGGATGAAGCTGATTGGTTGGTTCTTGTCACATGACCCACGGTGTGCTTGCGGCATTCTGAAAAGTTGAAATGTTTTTATCTCAATGCGGCGCGGACGTGCCTTGAAAAATGTATAGTAAAATTCTAGAAATAATCAAGGCTTAAATTCCACACTGTTACCTAAATGAACACAAGCCAAAATTATGTTTTATATATAATATATTTAATGTTATGTATAATCAGTTTAACAAAGCATAAGAAATATTAGGTACAGTAGGTAAGTATTAGTGTTTATTGCTAAAACAATTAAATAAACACTCACAGAGTGAGTCATCTGGGAGATTTATGAGCAATGACTCAAATGAATCGTTTGTTATAATTTTAAAATGATTCACTGAAATGGATAGTTTAAATCATTAAAAGTGTCTTTTTGAGGCACTGCTTACTCACCGACTGCAGCAAACATTAGTGTCAAGTCACCGTGTGCTTTCCATTTTCCAGGTGCCGTGTTTGTGAACGGAAAGGAGATGACCAACCAGCTACCAGCCATCACTGTTGGCTCTTCTGTGACCTTTGACATGGAAGTAGTCAGCCTCTTTCCTGTGAGCAACAATAACAACCCCAGCGATGGTGGAAACTTCAAGCTGAGGGTGACGATTGGCTCAGGGAACAGGGAAGTGGTGTTTGATTGGCTGCTGGATCAGGTGGTGGACAGCCTTTTCTTTGGCTGCTCCTTCACGCACCCTGGATGGAAAGTGCTGGTGTTTTGATTGTTGCATGATGAAAGATCCAGTCTGCTGGAATTCAAGACCTCAAGTTTCTTTAATGTTATCAAACTTCCCAAGTGCTTACAGTGTTCAGATGTCACATTTACCTTTTTTCTTATTATCAGCACCACGTATCACTGCAGAATAACATTAGAATTTGTTTTGAGGTATGACGCCAACCACTACTCTTTGACCTCATTACAGATGGACAGGTGTTGTGGTATTTGCATAACAGTAAATATTTGCAAAAGAGACTGTTACATGTTTGAGGAGTCTAATAAAGTCTTTAGCAGCAGGTGTTAAGTTGCAAAGCATGCTGGTCTGGTTTACCACAGAAAAGAATCTACTGTGAAGCATTCAGAGATCAAAGGCACTCAAAACTGCTCAAAAATGTAAAAAAAAACTAACAAAAACAAAATGCTTTATAGCAAATGACGAAGCTGAATCTTTTACGCTCGGACAATCTTTTCTGCTTTTGAGTTTTCTCAAGTCAGAAGTGGAGAATATATCCTTAGAACTTTTAGTCTGTTTAAACAGCTGAATGTCGTTTGATTTAGGACACTGTAACGTTTAGAGATGGCATATAACAACTAGTATTTAATTCGTGTTTGCCTGGTACTCCGTGCTCTCATTTAGAAAGTACTGTTTTTAATTTTTACATCACAGGGTAGAGTGTTTAAGGTGTCAACCCATTCATTCACAACTTCAGCAAAATAATACTGATCAGTAGATACCAATAGGTTTCCACAGAAATGTGATAATTCGCACTAAGCTCAAGTGTTGTGCCATTTTATGGTGATCTTTTTTTTTTTATGTTCACATTTTTACATGCAGTCTTACTGAACCACTTCATGTTTTTATCAGTTGGCTTACCTTACAGTAATGTTTATAATGCTTTGGCTGGAGATTTCAGAGGAAAAACATTTGACAAAATGAGAGGACAAGCACCCAACTCGCATGTTCCCGAGATAAAACATCGTTTACAAGGTACCATGTAATTCCTCACTGCAGAAGAGAACATTTGTAACTCTATGCAGATTAACCCATGAAAGATCTGATCTATACTATATTTATAAAACTGTGACCGTTTAATGTGTATTTTATTTTGTCTGTGCCTTTGCAGTACAGCTGTAAGAATACAACTGAACATTTGAGATTTAATAAATTGTTTGGAACATTTCAAAAAATCTTGATTTATTTTATTTTTTTCGTAAATGTTTACTCCAAAGAAAAACATGAAAGATAATCATCAACTTGTGAGGTATCAATTGTAAAACAAAAAAAATCTTTATTTTAAATAAAGAGCAACCTCAAGCACGTTTCAGCATAATTCAGAAACTCAAGCAGGTTTCATAATGTTCTTATTCAAGATAGAAGTATCTTTTTTGACATTACTTTACATCAGTAATCCACAGCCTGTGTAATCGTTGCTGTATTGAGAGTGTTACGCAAAAATTAGCAAATTACACAACGGCTTCAGCCAGTTAAGCAACTGATCTCCAATATTGACCAAAAACATGTTTTAACCCAGTGCACAGTTGTAGCGAAATAAAGCAGTAATGATTCACAAACAGATCCCTTTCTTTTAAAACAGATGCATACAACAACAACAAAAACAACAACTATGAAGACTTACATTTCTGATTTCAAACCAACTAGACAAACATTATAACCATTTCACTTTGGTCTAAAATAATATTCCTTCTGGAATGCAGTCCCCTTCAGCAAAGCCATCGTGTAATATCACTAAACCTATGTACACGTTACAAAAGGTTTCCTCAGAAACACCTGAAAATCAAACAAATGGGCACCGTGAAGGACAAGTGGAAACGAGATAAATTGATGGACACCAGAGCAGATGCACTGTGTATGGAACTGGACAGATTGAAATTATTCAAACAAGAATAAATTAAACCTTTTCGCACTGATTTAGACCAAAAGTTCAAACCCTGCTTCGAGTCCATGTTTCCATGGGTAAGGCAAGTGTAAACATTTCTGCAAGGCTTCGCCACCCCACTGCGTTGTAGTACCCTGTACCTGTATGTTTGTGTTGCAAGGTCAGTGAAATGAAGGCTCTGAAAAACTTGATAAACTCTGCAGTGTAAATGTTCTTCAATCCAAGATTCCAAAGAAAAGTCGAAAAAAAAAAAAAAAAAAAGTAATTTGAAGTTTTCAAGGGGGGGGCAACTTAGGCACCTAAAACAAGTGCTAAACATTTGCTAGAGCTACAGGGTTGTGTGGGAAAAGAAAAATCTGACCTGCTTGTACACTCCATCATAAAGACTAATGGCATCTTCAAGTAATTTGAACCTAGTAAAGAGTTGCTTTGAACTCTGATGACATCAGGCCAAAATCATGATCTGCAGAGTATATGGCTGTCGAACCACATAAACCGCTTCGAACTCGACATCAACTTTAACCCTGTGAGCAAGCAGAATTTGGTGGCTCTCGGATGCCTGCTGACACTCAATTCAACGCAGAGTGTGAGGAGGAGGTTTCAGTGATTCTGGGTGTTGACTAAACTTGATACACTGGCTTCACCATCGCAGCTGGATCCACCATCAGCATCGTCTTGCGTTTTGGCTTGCTCCTGGCCATCTTTTTGCGGTTTCAGGTGAGCCATGGCCTTATCTATGGTCCCTGTATTCACTAAACCAAAGTCGTGCATGCTGACCAGATGGAGCAGAATGTTCCGGCAAAGGTTCTTCTCGATGATGGTGGTGCTGTGCTGCTCCACAAACAACAAGCAGGCCTGATTCATTTGGTTGTCAGCTATGAATCTGCATGGAAAGAAACAAGTGAATTACTGGCAGAAATGTGATCAAGCTCTGAGAGATAAACTCACGTAACATGTAAGGTGATACGAGGAGAGTATCCAGGCCACTGTAATATACAGAACAAGGATTGCGTTTAATAGGAGAGGTTTGATTCAATAAAACAAACTTTAAACAGAAAGGACCGAAGTGAAGTAGAAGTGAGAAAAAAAAAAACATACCCATGTTTCATTACATGCAGGTTCCACAATTTCATGACCTCTTTCTCTCCCTCATTGACATCCGTGAATTCATCGATTTGCTAAGGGGTAGTGAAGATAAAGTCACTTAAAATGGTAAATGCTAAATAAAACGTGTGCAATTTCAGATTTAGAGGGTGCTATAAATTAGGGATGCACCGAAATGAAAATTCTGGGTCGAAAACAGAAACGAAGCCAAAAATGCTTTGTAATAATTATTTATTATTTTATTGAATAATATAAAGTAATTTTGTAAGACTTTTTAAATTTAACTTCATTTTAATTAAACTAACTTTTAAAAAACACAAGCCAATAAAATAACCACACTTTTACTGAAAATTACACAATAAAATTGGACAGAAAATTGATTAAATATCAATATATTTTTATTTAGTTCTATGCAACAGAATCAGATTTTTTAGATTAAAGTTTAACTAATTATCCAAATAATATATAGTCCTACAAAGCTATTATTATCAGAGCATGTGAGCAGAGCACAGTGGGGAGCAGATCAGTGGATAGCGTTATTTTACCAGTGTTGCCCAGTACAGCATGTTACATCCCAGTAACGCTACTGCAAACAGCAACAAGTAACATAATACATAGAAATTTCCTGTTTGCACGTTATTTGAGCGAACTTTGCTTTTCCGGTGAGTATGAGCGGTAGACGAGCAGAACGCACATTCATAGAGCGGAATATTGAGTGGAGCATCACATCACGCAGTGACTGCGCCTAGAGGAGAGTGAAACCCATGCACGGCGCACCATATATATATATATTTTTTTTTTTTCCGGCTCATATTTTCTGCCGATAATTTTTGGTGGCCGAAACTTCGGTGCATCCCTACTATAAACCTACAGTCACTGAACAACAAAGCAATTATGCAGATAAAAATCAACCCTTTATACTTTAACATTGATTTAATGCAACTTAATTCCAGATATGCTGTAACATCCCTCCTCAGATGCGATTTGAACATGTAGTGTCAGTGGAAGCATATCATATTCAGTCTCACACAGACTGAAGCCCGGCTCACACTGTGCGATTTTGGCCACGATTTGGTCATCTGAGACAAATTTTGAAAATCCTAAAAGATTCCTATAATCCTAGGCTAAAATCTGTAGTCTTTGATCA